TAATTGGTTAATCAAGACATAACCACAAATCTATTTGTAATTCTGACCTGATGTTCCCTCTCACTTTAACATTCGGAAAAGAGGTAACACATTGTTTTAAATTTTGTCGGAAATCAGTTAATCACCAGTTATTTAGCATCGTCTGAAGAAGTACAATCATAGTACTGAAACATGAAAGCTTTTGTGTAACGAATTCAATATCTTTCATTATAACCCTTACAATAAAAAAAATAATATTTTGCTCTACTTTATATTGAGCACCTATTAAAAGTACATGCTACGAACAGTGGAATTTTACTCCATCTGTTCTTTCTCTCATTTGTATATATATATATATATATATATATATATATATATAGATATATATATATATAGATGGGTGCTATAGTTCGGCATTATCGACATAGATAAGTTTAACTCTATTTATTCCCCAAACATCTGAGAAGGTCTGAAGGCACACTGAATTATACAGTTGACTTGAATAAATATAGCCGTAAGTTCTATGCTAACAGTTTCTTCTCTTGCACGTCTCCCTCTTGGAAGCTTTTTTCGGTTTTTTGCTTTTCCAGTTAACTTTGATCTTTGAAATATAAATGTAATATCAATCGTTATTTTCTGCCTTCTTAATTCCTATTCTTATCTTGTTTTCACCCCTTTAAAGGTTTTTCTTTTTCGCACTAAGTAACGCCCTTGCGTCTTTGTGACTCTATTGCCTTGCTTGGTGTGAAATGATTAAAAACAACAAACAAAAAAACACTGTACATCAGTTCTCTCTTATCAGTTCTTTCAAAAAGTGAAGCTTGTTCCACACAACGCGATTCTAATTAACTGATTTGGGAGTAGTTTTGGGTTTCGGTTCTAAGCTGAACTCTTTGTACCTAATACGGTGAGAGAATCTGTTTGTCTGACTCTTTTTATATACATATATATATATATATATATATATATATATATATATATATATATATACTATAATTATTTTTTATAAAAAATTATAACATAAGTATGTTATAAGATCACTACAAAAATAGCCATTTTGTTTCAACACATTCTGTGTCTTCTCAAGTGATGATGTTGAAAATAAAATAAATGGTTTTAAAAAGTTTCAGATTAATTAACGATCCTACACTAGGGGGAAACATTGTTACAAAAGCTAGAATAACCAATCAAAAACGAAGTATAGAAAGATTCAAAAGCTTGACAACGAAATCCTGCTATAATAGCTATTCAGATCTTTAAATACGTGTAATATTAAAAATAATTTATACTAACTAATAATTATAAAATCATATGATAAAATTTAATATTAAAATTAAAAATTGTTAATTTTAAAATCCAAATTTAATCACTATTAAGTTTAAAAACTACAAAATTATTGAGAAAAGAAAAAATATATATGTTTATTCAATTCATTTCTTCATTGAAATTATGTTCGACAAGGACGCTACAATATATCCGGTCATTTGATAATACATATATATATTTTTTTCCCATTTCGTTTTTCATTTTAAAGTTTTTATTTTAAAGTTTGTGTATGTGGTCTTAAACTTACGCGTCAAGACAACAAAACACAATCAGATTATAATACATAAGAAACTAACACTAATACACACACCCAGACATAATTAGATATACAAACACACACACACAATGACAGACATACACACACACACACACAAATATACATACACACATAAAAAAAAAAAAAAAAAAAAAGAAGGAGGTGGTGGGGAAAAACATGAAATCTCTACATAAACAGAAATTAAAACACACATTATGGCATATATATTTTACGCCACTATATATTTGTATATATATATGTCTCATGTGTGTGTGTAAATGTGTATGTATGTATGTATATATATATGTGTATGTCTGTGTGTGTGTGTGTGTATGTATGTGTATATATATATATGTGTGTGCATATATATATATATCTGTATGTCCTATTTTATTGTGTATGTATATCTATATTTAAGTATATTTCTGTTTATATGATTGTGTTTATATATTTGTATGTTAGACTATATGTATATTGTGTGTGTGTTGGTTTTTGAAGGTATATTTATGTATCTATATGTTAGTACGTTTATGTATGTATTTGGTTGAGTGTTGTTTGTATTTTATGTATGCATGTGTATATGGTTAGTTGTTATTGTAGATAGATATTTTTATATATATGTTTATTTGTAGATATGTATGTATGTGTGTATATATATTTATGTATGTTTTATATATATATATATATGTGTGTGTGTGTTGGCACCTATTATGTATGAGTTTGTTTGTGTGTATGTGGGGGTATGGAAACTTTGGGTATATCATGACTGTTTTTTATATATGTAAGTATGTGTGCATAAAAGTTTGTGTGTATATATGTGGGTGTATTTAGGTTTATATGTATATGTGCGTGCATGTGTACTTGTTATCATAGATATGTATATGTGCGTATATGTTTATGTTTATATATTTATTTGTATGCATTTCTGTATGTAAATATATATGTATATGTATGTATGAGTGTATATTTATGTGTGTTAATTTGTTTTTGCTCCCGTGTATATATATACATATATATATATATATATGTATATAGTTGTGTTTCTGTATACTGTTTTTCCTTGCCTAATATATAATGAAACTATTATCAACTTATATGATTAATATATATTTTTATTGATATTTATGGTTTTGAATTTTCGTTTTAATATATTAAATAATATTATTTTTAACCATTTTTATCTTTGTATATTTGCTCCCTTAAGTTATAATTCAATAAGTGGTTAGCATTTATTTAAGTCTGAAATATTTATTGGTTGTGATTTCTCATTGTCTGTCATTGTCTGTGGATGTATGTATGTGTATCTATCGGTGTCTATGTGTATGTAGAGTGTATTCACTGTGTGTGTGTATTAGTGTTAGTTTCCACGTCTCCCTTTTTTCATAAAGGGCTGTAGAGATGTTCATGTTTTTCCCCACCACCTCCTTCTTCTTTTTTTTTTTTTTTTTTTTGTGTATGTATGTGTGTGTGTGTGTGTGTGTATGTGTGTGTGTGTGTTTGTATATCTAATTATGTCTGGGTGCTTATGTATTATAATCTGATTGTGTTTTTGTTGTCTTGACGCGTGAGTTTAAGACCACATACACAAACTTTAAAATAAAAACGGAAATGAAAGGGAAAGGGAAAAAAAATATATATACATGTATTATCAAATGACCGGATATATTGTAGCGTCCTTGTCGAACATAATTTCAATGAAGAAATGAATTGAATAAACATATATATTTTTTCTTTTCTCAATAATTTTGTAGTTTTTAAACTTAATAGTGATTAAATTTGGATTTTTAAAATTACCAATTTTAATTTTAATATTAAATTTTATCATATGATTTTATAATTATTAGTTAGTATAAATTATTTTTAATATTACACGTATTTAAAGATCAAAATAGCTATTATAGCAGGATTTCGTTGTCAAGCTTTTTGAATCTTTCTATACTTCGTTTTTGATTGGTTATTCTAGCTTTTGTAACAATGCTCCCCCTAGTGTAGGGTCGTTAATTAATCTGAAACTTTTTAAAACCATTTATTTTATTTTCAACATCATCACTTGAGAAGACACAGAATGTGTTGAAACAAAATGGCTATTTTTGTAGTGATCTTATAACATACTTATGTTATAATTTTTTATAAAAAATAATTATATCTGCTCTACTTTGTATTGAGCACTCTTTTAAGAATAGTAATTGTTGGTTATTGGAATTCATTCCGTATATACCAATTATATACTTTGATATATACATATACTATATACGTATATATATATATATATATATATATATATATGTATATATATATATATATATATATATATGTATATTCATACCTTGGGAAAGGTATGAATCCTCTTCATCTCCCTCCAGCTATGGGTAAAATAGCAGGACAGACTGGGTTCTATAGCCTTGGATGGCAACTGGTCTAGGGAGAAGGACAACTCTGAATTCAAAACCTGCGGAGGGTCGTTTGGGAACCTTGTGGCATTCGGTGCACCAGGTTTCTGTATTCGTCCCTCCAAAAGTGTGGCTGGTCCTGCACAAGGCATTCACCACTATAATCAAATCTCATGTGCCGGTGTCGGGATGTTGGTTTCCTGGAGACTTATCGGCCTGACCCTCATACGTCGAACGCGACGGGAGAGTCGATTATATATATATATATATATATATATATATATATATATATATATATTGAGCAATAAAAATATTAAAAAATTACAATCTTCAGACACACTGGGTTGTAGATTAATATTCTTTCGTTTTTATTATTGTCATTTCATTTAGATTCCTCGACTAGTTTCGGCCAACATGGCCATCATCAGGAGAAAAAAAAATTCTGCTTGCTGGTAACAGTGAACAACAGAAATGAGGGTCTTCATGGAGAAAAATGAACTTTTGTCTGTAGTTATCATGTGTTTTTTTTATCTTTTTATCATTAATTTTTTAACATTCCTTGTGTTGGTCAGTCTCTTTTAAGTTGTTATTTGAGATCTCTGCTGCTCTGAATTTCCCTGGTCAGTTTGACAGTTTTATTGGTTCCTGGAGAGGAGATGTGTCTCTGTTAAGGGTGTGCGTGTTATTTGGTTTTTAGGGAGTGAGTGAGTATGATATGTGTGAGCGTGTATATTACTGTGGGTGTGTGTTATCATTTGGTTCATTAAGGAGTGAGTGAATATGATGTGTGTAGGTGTGTATATTCGTGTTATATATGTATAAGTGTGACGCCTCAACACCTCCGTATGCGCACGTACGCACACATCAGAAAACGCGATAACCTTTTAACGAGTCACTTTGTATTTATAATTATACATATCGTCAATGTTCTAATTAGAAAGGAAACATGAGTATCGACATCACACCGTCCCCCAATTACTCTGTGAAGGCGTTTGTCTTATAATTTTGTCGATCACGTCAACGCCCTTTCCAGGAAAGAGCCAACCTACCAAGCAAATGGTATTATCCGTAATCCGCAATAATGAAGCTCGTCTTCAACAGAGGAAAACATCTTTTCTTTCGCGATAAAAGCAATTTCATAATAAATTAACCGATAAGAATCCTTGATGTTAAGCCAGCGAATGAACACTGAGCAACTCAGCAAAACGTGTTTCCATAAAAAGTGTCATCATATTAGTAATAAAAGCACTGATATAAATATTTTATATACAATTTTATTTGTACAGGAAAGACTAGATAGATAAATACATCAATAACTTAATGAGAACTTAGTTAAATCTGGATCTGAAATGTTTACTATATAATGTTTTAAATATGTGATCAATGGATAAACCTTACTTGAAGAAACAGATTGAAGTATAAAGCTGTTGAAAAAAAAAACCTCTTGTGAAAAATCAATGTTTTTTTTAACTACTACTGAAGTAAGAAACGTGAAATCGGAGAGGCAAGTTCGAATTACATCTGGTTTTGTTATATTCACTTACACACAAATACCCTCGGGGAAGGTATGAATCCATCTCTTCTCCTCCCAGCACAGGGCAGACTGGGTCATGTAGCCTTGGTTGGCAACCAGGTTAATGCAGAAAGAAACGGCAACCTTACACGCAAATACCCTCGGGGAAGGTATGAATCCATCTCTTCTCCTCCCAGCACAGGACAGACTGGGTTATGTAGCCTTGGTTGGCAACCAGTCTAATGCAGAAAGAAACGGCAACCTTACACGCAAATACCCTCGGGGAAGGTATGAATCCATCTCTTCTCCTCCCAGCACTGGACAGACTGGGTTATGTAGCCTTGGTTGGCAACCAGTCTAATGCAGAAAGAAACGGCAACCTTACACGCAAATACCCTCGGGAAGGTATGAATCCATCTCTTCTCCTCCCAGCACAGGACAGACTGGGTTATGTAGCCTTGGTTGGCAACCAGTCTAATGCAGAAAGAAACGGCAACCTTACACGCAAATACCCTCGGGGAAGGTATGAATCCATCTCTTCTCCTCCCAGCACAGGACAGACTGGGTTATGTAGCCTTGGTTGACAACCAGTCTAATGCAGAAAGAAACGGCAACCTTACACGCAAATACCCTCGGGGAAGGTATGAATCCATCTCTTCTCCTCCCAGCACTGGACAGACTGGGTCATGTAGCCTAGGTTGGCAACCAGTCTAATGCAGAAAGAAACGGCAACCTTACACGCAAATACACTCGGGGAAATGAATCCATCTTTTTCTCCTCCCAGCCCAGGACAGGGGTTATGTTGCCTTGGTTGACAAACCAGTCTAATGCAGAAAGAAACGGCAACCTTACCAAATACCCTTTTCATCCTTCTCCTCCCAGCACAGGACAGACTGGGTTATTTAGCCTTGGTTGGCAACCAGTCTAATGCAGAAAGAAACGGCAACCTTACACGCAAATACACTCGGGGAAGGTATGAATTCATCTCTTCTCCTCCCAGCACAGGACAGACTGGGTGATGTAGCCTTGGTTGGCAACCAATCTAAACAGAGAGAAACGGAAACCTACTGCGGAAATATCGTCAGCTTAGTGAGTCATGAATCGAAAGCCCAACTGTGTGTTCCGTAGGGCGCCTAAGTGACTAACCTGGAGTAGACTGTACATTTCAACCTCATTTGGCGCCTATTTTCTTCAACTAAACTGTCCCACCTCAAGACTAAAGGGTTTCCTCTTAAGAACCATGGCACCAGATCTCATTTAATATTTCGAGGTCATATTTGGGCGCGTAAGAGTGCTTAGGGCCATCTCACATTGAAACCGTTGCTCGTACGATCACCGAAGTTAAGCAACGTCGAATCTGGTCAGAGATGGTCACCCTTTTGGGAATTCCAGGTGCTGTAACCTACTGTGTGTGGGTTGCGTAATGCGCTTGTGGTTATATCACATTGAAAAACCGGTACTCACACAATCATTGAAGTTAAGCAACGTCGAATCTGGTCAGTACCTAGATGAGTGACCAATTGGTGATACTAGGTGCTGTAAGCTTGGATGTGCGGCTGGTATAACGGACCTACGGCTAAGTAACATTGAAATATCGGTACTTGTCCGATCACCGAAGTTAAGCAATGTCGAGCCTGGTCAATATCAGATGGGTGACTGATTAGAGTACTTGGTGTTCTAAGTTTGGATGTGCGGCTCATATAATAGATAAAAGCTTGGAATTGAAAATAGGAGAGTAGAGTTCCAATTCCAGTCTGTTTATTATATTCACAAATACCCTTGGGAAAGGCATGAATCCACCTTCCTCAACTCCGAGCTTATGAGTTAATCAGTAAGCAAAATAGCCCTAAAAAACGAAATGAACAACCGTTGGCTCAGTATCATGCAAAATTTGATGATGTAAGTCAAATGACAACACCAGTTATTGGAAATAGTTTCTTGTTAGTCAATCTAATTCACTGTTTATTATTCTTTGAGCTTTGTTAATTTTCGTTTAGTAGCCATTTATTGGTAAACTTTATTTATTAAAGCCAAATTTTTTTTGAAAATTCTCTGGTCAACTTTTTCAGTTTTTAACGTTGCAGACCCTATCACTCGATGTCTTTACAATATATTCTTTTGCTTTTATCCTTATATCATTCTTACAAAACGGCCGCGAATCTGGACGACACATGTTACGTAGGAAAGCCGTCCGGAAACTTGATTCTAAGCTGCCTACGACGTACCTTGAAGAGAGACAAAGTTTCCAAAACTGTTTTACGAGAGCAAGCAGACTCTTGGTGCATGCATCTTCTTACATATCTATGCCGTGTTCAGTGTCTGGTTCACGTACACTGAATGAATGTCGGCCGTATACCAACATACAGCATCCACGGTTAGCTAGCCACTGTAGACCGCCCTTTTCAACATCATTTGAACGAGGGACCTGGCATTCATAGGCATCGGCTCTGGTACCTGGGAACACTTAGTCGTTTGTAGCCGCTGGTGACATGCTGTTCAATGAGCAGTCATAAAGGAAAGGTAAAAGCAAAACTAAGGGAGATAAGTAGACAATACAGGAAGCAGGGAGGGCAAACACAGACATCCATTACATATTCCAAGTTAGTCTGCCACACACAGAGTGCCATGCAAAGATTGGAATGTTAAGCCGCTTCAGACACTGCTCACAAAAGACTGAATTTTGACCGAATAGGAGCTACCATTCTCTCGATCATATATCGATATATATATATATATATATATATATATATATATATATATATATACACAGGTGATCCCAAAAACGGGAATTTTTGAAGTGCGTATTGCCAGACATGAGCAAGTGGCAACACTGCGAGACAGTGACCTTGAGCAAGTAAACATTTTGCCATTTAGAATTCAAGATAAAATTCACAGTATCCCAGCTGAGATGTTGTAGCAGTCAATGAGGAATCTCAACAGCAGATTTCAAGAATGCATTCGTACAGGAGGACGCCATCTACAGAACGTATTTTTTTAGAAAAATGAAAGTCCAATCATTGTTTCTTAAATGGCATGTTTTAATGTTTTAATTACCATGAATAAAATATTTTTCTTCCATCACTTTTGGTCTTATTGGATTGTTAAAAAGTTCCCATTTTTTGGGGTCACCCTCTATATACACTGCGTGCCAAATTATTATCGAGATAACTCTTTTTCTAATATTTCAAAAACCGTCCAATCAATTCACACAAAACTTTCACACAATGTTGGCAACATTGACCTGCGAGATCACTGAAAATTTCGTACTGATCTGCGCAATGTAAACAAACTGGCGCCATGTTTGTTATCAGCACGGTGATCTGACCGTGCCAAATTATTAGAAAGGTTTCGTAAAATTACCAGAATTGAGCAAACAAAGCGTTTATTAATGTTGCACGTGAATGTTTATGATCAAAAGAAGCTAATAAATAAGATAATCAAACCAATAATAACAGATACAAACAAAGGCACAGTTTTAAACAAATTAATAGGGAATGTGCTTCCCTGTTTTGAAATTACTTGAAGAAATATATATATATAATAAATATATATATGTATATATATAATGAATGGATATATATATATATATATATATATATATATATATATATATATATATATAATGAATGAATATATATCTATATCTCTAGTGTCGCTGACAGAACTAACCTCGCCTCTCGTCTTGAAATGGACCTCCAATCGGTTGTTAATTGGGGCAAGAATTGGCTGGTCAACTTTAACGCCTCAAAAACTAAACTACTCTCTATTAATCATCATAGAGATCCTTCCCTGCCCCCCATTAGAATGTCTGATAGTCAACTTCTTGAGAGCAACTCTCTGCGTCTGCTCGGTCTCACGTTGACTGCTGACCTGAGATGGAACAAATACATTGAGTCAATTGCTTCTTCCTGCTGACCTGAGATGGAACAAATACATTGAGTCGATTGCTTCTTCTTATTGTGTGTGTGTGTGTATTTAGGCAGCAATTTTTTATTGATGCATGTTTCATTAAATAATATAGCCAAGTTTTGTTTATTTATTTTAAGTAAGTTCCTTTCATGATAAGCTTAATAACATTATCATTGAAAGACGAAAGGAAATCACCATATTGACACAAGTTTTAATCCTATCTAAGCTTTTGGCTTACATAATCCATTATCAAAGATGAAAATTACATTTCAATATATCAAACAATACACGGACAAAACAATAATTATAGTCTGTTTTTGTTGCATGAAAAATTTCAAAGCAACGACAGACTCGTTTATACGAAACGCGGAAGCGAAAATCGCATCGCAGCTCGTGATATATATATATATATATATATATATATATATATATATATATATATATATATATATATATATACTTAACCTATTTATGACTAACATTCAACTAGTTGGGCTTGATCATAAACACTTCCTAGCACTAAGACAAATATATTGGCAAAAGTTATAAAAGTTATATCGTCCAATGACTCAAGCGTTTTGCTCCCTGAAATATAGCCAGGTATGCCTCAAAAGGTGTCATTTATGAATTATTTTTATATTTAAAAAGTCTTTAGTTTTGAAAAGTTAAATACACCAAGCCCATGGCTT